ATAACTAATGAACAGGTAACACCTTTATGAAAAGGAAAAGGCACCCCTTTCTGGAGACAGGCACAGCTCTAAACAAATGCTGGAGGCTCAGCAGGTAGAGTTCTGGCTGGAGAGCTGCACCACTAGACTCCTTGGTTGATGCTCTTGTCCAGTGCACAATGTGAACATCTCTATCAGATGGCTCTGACCTCTGAACATCCCGAGGGTGAGTTTCCCAATAACTCAACCTGGTCAGAGCTCACAAATGAGGGGAAGAAGGGGAAAGAGGGAAAGAAGAAGACAAAAGACAAGAAGCGGCCAAGAATGAGAATGGGAAAAAGCAAAAGCAATAAAAACTTATTCTAATTTTTAAGAAAATAATAATTCCCTTTGCTGACCTGCCCCTGCCTATTTTTAAACCTAGTTTCTATAATTGAACTATATATTTTGCAGGCTGAACTTTCCATTACTTAGAGTTAACCCTGAGTTTTGAATTTGAAGAGCATAAACCCAATGAAACAGGAAAAAAAAGAAAAAAAATCCATCCTTTCTTCAAGCAAAGGAAATTGTCATTTCAGTCAAGGGACCCACAATGTCACATCTGGCCATCTAGAAAGTCAAATTTCAATAATTGCCATAGTTTGCCAGCATTTCTCTAAGCCTCAATGTTCTTGTGCTACTGATCTAGACACTGAAAATAAATACAGCAATGACTACTGTTTTTCAATCTTTTCTCTGGGAAGAAATCGACTCCACATAGCTTTTATTAAATTGTTTCTTAAATTACAAGCAAAATATTATAGATACAAGCTATATATTTTATATGATTAAAGTGAAAAGTCATCATAAATTTCTAATACCTTCCTAGCAGCAAGAAGTGCACATGCACACACACATAAAAATACACACAATGAAGAACTAGCCCAAACACTGGAATCTAAAATTTTAAAAATGTTTGATCTGTGAATCATAAAAATGATAACAAGTTAGAAATGTGATAAGAAATGTTAATATGCCAAAGGACAGAGGGATCCATAAACATGCAGGGATACAAGGTTAATAACTAAGTACAAATGAAGGATGACCTTTCTCTAAACAAGTTTATTCCAAGGTAGTAATGAACTACCATAGAGAGGAAGTATAACATGTCCAGGAAGAGAGGTAAATGTTTCTAGCAGTTAAAATGCTTTAGTTGGAGGGCAGACTGGTGAAAACTCCAGTAGTTCAGTTTGTAGAATCAGAAAATCTCTATGCAGCACATGAAGAAAAACCAAACCATCAAGGTAGAAATACCAGGGGAGTATTCTCAAAGGCTCTCCCTTTCTGACATATTAAAATACTATATGAAATCTGGCCTCAAGTTTAATTTTTCTATGCCCAGTAGATTCCACTGGCAACTGGATGTGAGATTTATCAATTCTCAGGAATAGCATTTACCTTGAGATTCATCTTGGTGTAGAAGAAATGAGACTGGCCCACTTAGCAAAAAGCCTAGATTTTAAATTTTGCTCTGGCACTAACTATAAAATCAAATCACTTAACCTCTCTAGAGCTTGGTTTCCTAGCATGGTTCTTTTTTTTTTTTTTTAGTTATAAATGGACACAATACCTTTATTTTATTTTTTATGTGATGCTGAGGATCGAACCCAGTGCCTCACATGTGCTAGGTAAGTGCTCTACCACTGAGCCATGACCTCAGCCCAGCTTGTTTCTATTTATAGTTAATTAAACATTAATAGAGTTATCAAAATCACATCAATATCTACAACCTATCTTGGTGAAGGTAATCAGACAGTGAACTAATCCATGATGGTTTTCATACTATGAAACTGTTTTGCTTGATTGAAGCAAAACAGTTTATATATAAAGAAATATATAATAGGCTAAAATGATGTGACCATCTTAACAGCTTAGTTACACAATAAAATATAAGTGCATAAAAGTACTATAGGCTTGGAAGGGAAGTTAATTGGTTCATAAAACAATGAGATAACAAATCATCAATGTTAAACATGTTCCCAAGGAAATGATTTGTCAAACTTGTTAAGCACTAATAACTATACTCTACTAAATATTTTACAGCACAAATGCATTATATCAAAAGCAAGCATACCACTGTGTTAATTTCTTATTATATTTCCTCTTGAATGCTGCAATTCATTGAGAGAGTCAGACTCTTTCAAAAAATATTTTCAGTATCCCAGGATACACTGACCAAGTGCTCTTCATAAAACACTACTGTATTCAAGGCTTCTTAATCATATCAGCACAGTGGTGAAGGGCACACACCCAAAACTGGCATATGATGATGGATCTATCCCGGAATCTCCTCTTACCATTCACAGGATATGACCCTAAACAAGTTATTTAATTTGTCCCACCTTCAGATTTCTTAGGCAAAATAGAAATTATAATAAATACAAAGTTGGGTTGTTGTGAGAATTAAGAGATAAGGCATGGAGAATGTTTATTCAATAATTGATAGATGTATACACTGTTGCTGCAATTTGGCATCTGTTTGTAGAAATATATAATTGTTATATAAACATTAATCTTTCCTTCTAACTATGCTACAGGGTCAATAATCCCAAAATCTTTGTATAGTACTTCTTTTAAATATTTCAAAATCTAGTAGAGCAAATGATAGTAGTATAAAAGTAATTTTTACTCCCCTAGATTCATGTGCATTAAGAGCTTTGTGTGTGACTGACCCTGAGTAGGGTGTGTGTGTGTGKGGGGGGGTCCCCAGGAAAAGGGAAGGAGTCCTGGAATGAGATCCCAAGTTATGAAGAAACACAGAGGTTTTAGAAAAAAATGTTAAATAGAGGATTAGAGACAAATGAGAAGAGAATGCTACATCAGAGGCATTGTGTGAAGTTACAGAAACTGGGAAGCATGAGAAAGTAACAGAATAAAAGAAATTAGAGGGTCCCAATCGGGCTGTGGTTAGCTCAGAGAAGGAAGACATTGACAGAAATCCCTGAATCTCAGTGTCAAAACAGTGAATGAAACTAGCCCTGGTCTGGCTCAGCACTATGTTTTAAAAAAAGTATTTTCATAATTATGATAAATAATCTTCTTTACATTAAGGATAGATGATTTTGCATCACAACAAAGATTTCTGTCAAAAATCTAGATTGAGGACTGGGGTTGTGGCTCAGTGGTACAGTACTTGCTTAGCATATGTGAGGCACTGTGCTCAATCAACAGCACCACATAAAAAAAACTAAATAAACAAAAAGTCCCATACGTTTAAAAAAATCTAGACTGAAAAATTACTAACAATTATAAGACTGGTTGAACACATCATGTTGTTGTTTTGTCTGAATGATTACAACATTTTAAAATATCTCTAAGACAAACAAGAGAGGAGAAAAACAGAAGCTTTCAGCCAGAGGAATGACTGTTCTTTCATATTAGTAGAAAGAACACTGTAATGGATTTAAGAGATGTGTGGCTGCCAAATACACCAAAGATACTGAGAGTAAATGGGCCTTTCTTAAACCTGATCATGAAATTTATCATATGATGTTTGGTTGCCTAAAGCTCAAAAGGAAGAAAAAAAAAAAACAGGTCCCAAATGTGAAAGTATTTGCTTTGGTTCTTTTCATCTCCATCCACAGGGGTATATGGCTGGTGTCTATGTTGATTGAAGTCAAGCTCCTAAGCACACACCCTCTCAAACTTTAGGAGATGGTGGAGCATTGAAGGTACTCTCTCTGAGACCCAATTGTCCAAGTTCTAATGAGTTTCAGTTAGACTTGCAAGGCTCCAGAGTCAGAATAAGTGAAACACTAACAAAGAGTTAGTGTTTAAATTTGAAGGTCATTCTGTTTATATAAATATTTTTATAAATGGCTGTTTTATTTTTTTWAAAAAAAAGTTTAAGTATCATGCTCTGGGATTTGTCTCTCTTTAAGCTTTCCATATTGAAGAAAGAAGACTTACCATCAGTCCTACATCATGGAACCAGCACCAAATGGTAGAAGCTGTCAGAAGTATCTTGGAAGGAGGGAGTAAACACCTCTTAGGAAATGCCTATTTATAGCTGGAATCATCTGAGTGGTGGAGGGGCATGTGAACAGGAAAAGGGGTCCAAAATTGACTGCAAAAACATTTTGTCTAAGTACTTACTTTGGAGTCCATAAAATATTTACTACTTAAACCCTTCGTGTTGTCACCGATCTGGTTTTACTTCATCTTTTATATTACCTTGGACTTATTACCCAAATACATTTTTCTTCTGGTTTTTTTTTTTTTTTTTTTTTTTTTTTTTTTTTTTTTTTTTTTTTTTTTTTGCTCATGAGTCTCCCAAATTTAGTTCAACCATTTAATTAAGAAACATCTGATCTTCTTCAGGCAGTGGAAGGAGGCAGAAATCTAGCCAAATGCACTCAAAATTTGTGGGCTATTTTCTGCCTAGAGATGTCCTGTTTCAAATAACTATTTTGTTTCATTTGAGGGTAAAAACATAGTTTTTAGAGTTGAAGGCACAAAGTTTGTGAACTACAAATAGACCATGTACAAAGTCAGAGCAGGAACTTTATGAAGGATCAGATCCCAGCTTTTCTTGTAATTTGGTTGTTAACCTTCTGTTTTACAATGTCCAGGGCAGGCTACTTCCTGGGTCCTAAAAGGTCAGACCTGCATTGCCCATTTTATAGACTGTAGAAATGTCACAGAAAAACTCACGGGCTTGTTTGAGGTCACACAGCTCATAAAAGGCGGAGCTGGACTTCTCACTGAGTGTTCCTTCTGCCACAAGACAACATAAGTTTAGCTTTTTTCTCCTTCTTAAAACTGTTAAGGAGCATTACTTGACAACAAAGCATAATTTGTTCTCCATGACTTCAAAAGGTGTCACCCTACTGTCTTTGAAACAGAATGTTCTACCGCAAAGCAACTAGAAATCAAAGCTCGCAGATCCCATGGAGACAGAAAAAGGCAGAAAGTTTTTCCATGACACACTTATATGTCCACCACCCCAGACTGAAGAACACTGTCAGTTCAAAGTCACTTACCCAAATCTGGAGCTTGATTCTCTTTTCATTTTTGAATACAGTTTTTACTTTGAAATCGATCCCAACTGTGCTGACGAATGCAGATGTAAAGGAGTCATCCGCATAACGGAACAGAAAAGATGTCTTCCCCACACTGCTATTGCCAATGATCAGCAATTTGAACATGTAGTCAAAGTTCTGGTCAGAGGAGTCTTTCTGACCATATCTGGCATCTTGGGCTGAGGCCATCTGTGGAGGGAAAACAGGTGTGCATCAGTCTCCCATTTGATATAAACTACTAGCACATTCGTTATAGGCCTTGCCAGAAACAGATGTCAGACACTCAGGAGGCAAGTGGATAGTGCTCCCCAGTCTTTCTCTGATGCTGGTATCCATGGCAATAATTCCCTGCTGGAAGACAGAACTGCAAACCTTACAGCTCTTTCCAGCTGTGTTGGTGCTTGTCACTGCTCAGCATTCAGAACCAATCAAAGACACCAAAGGAGACATCTCTAAGGGTAACATGAAAAGCAAAGATGTGAGGAATCGGTCAGACCATGAGTGCTCTGAAACTTGCAATCTCAGTGATGAAGACACCAAAGTGACTAAACAGCAGGGTGTTTCTTCTTGAATTATCTAAATTATTAGTCTCTCTTATTTCTTAGGAAAATACACCCAAAGTATTCCATCTATTAATATCATATCAAATCAGCGTCTTTACAAAGGACAGTCTCTTTCAAATTAAAAATAATGATAGGCAATTCTGATGGTTTAAACAATATGCCAGATGTTGTTAACTTACTTTACCCTCATAACAAACCAGTGAGGTGGATGCCTTTCTTATTTCTATATTAAAATGAGAAAATTAAGGCTTACGTGGTAGATGCAGGATTCAAATCAGGCAGCTGGTGCCAGAGTTCATGTTTCTGACTCTGCTGAGCACCATGCTCTACCAGACCCGTTGAGGAATATTCATTGTGAAAAGCATTAGTGCTGAATCTTCCCTGGACTCCAGTCATTGGCTCTACCACTTACTGGCTTAAAACTTTGGCTTTCTTATTAAATTGGCATACCATTTTCCTCTCTTGCAAGATATGGGGAAAAAATCTAATTTTAAATGCTTATGAAAATCATAGATGATAGATTTGTTATGCAGATCTTCAAATCAGTATACAATAGAGAATGGTCTTTTACTAACTATAAATACTTCAGTTAATTTGGTTATTTTTCTTTATTAATAGTGATTTTAACATCTAGCAAAACTGATATAACATTTGAGTATCACTGAATCCAATGTAGAAATTTCAAAACGGTGAATCGCACTGATAATTAATGCATTTCCTCAGTACATTTTCTGATGCTGTGAATTCTTCGAGGATTGCTGTACTATTCAGTGTGATAGCCACTAGTCACATATGACTATTTAAATTATGTTRAAATTAAATAAATTTTAAAATTTACTTCCTTAATCACATTAGCCACATGAGGCTGTTAACTACTAGATCAGATACTTTAAGTACAAAATGTTGGCATAGTCGCAATTTTATTGAATAACATCAAGCTAGACATCTATTTTTCGTTTCTTTAAAAGTTAATTAATAATTATGTCCCTCCCTTGAGGAGAGCTATGGATTGGATATGATTTGAGTGTTTACACAAATGTCATGTGCTAGGAGCTTAGTCCTCCAAGTGGCAGAGTTGAGATGGTAAATTCTCTAAGAGGCGGGACCCAGTAGAAGGTCATTAGTCATTGGAGTCACGACCCTCAGAAGGGAATAATGTAGTTCTCAAGGGACATTGACTAGTTTCCAGGAGAGCAAACTGGACCCCTAAATTGCTCTGGCCTCCTGTTTCACCATGTGATTTCTCACTCCGGCACGCACTCCTACCATGGTTCATCCACCATGTTCTGATGTAGCCAAAATGCCCTCCCCAGAGCCAAGCAGATGCTGAAGCTATCTCTTGGACCTCCAAACTGGTAGTATACACAAACCTCTTTGTAAATAAAGTACCGAGCATCAGGAATTTTATTAYAGTAACAGAAGAGGGACTATTGGGGGCTGGGGTTTTGGCTCAGTGTAGAGTGCTTGCCTAGCATGTGGGAGGCACTGGGTTGGACCCTGGGCACCACAGAAATAAATAAATGAATAAATAAATAAATGTATTGTGTCCATCTAYAACTAAAAATATTTTTAAAAATTTTTAAAAAATGAACTGATACAGGGAATAGGAAGGCAAAAGATGCCCTAGAAGATAGTGAAATACTAGAAACAGCTAATAGTACTCAGGCTAGCTCATCTAAGGTAACAGCAGCTGTCTAAAATCAGTGGTATACGTGTGTGTGTGTGTGTGTGTGTGTGTGTGTGTGAGAGAGAGAGAGAGAGAGAGAGAGAGAGAGAGAGAGAGAATACATTTTGATTGACTAACATTTTCTTATTAAATATAAGCTTAAGTATTTCTCTTTTTAAATCCATGCAATCATACTATATTCAATAATTATGACAACTTGTGAAAAGTGTTTGCTATTGGGCACAAACGACATCTAAAACAGACAGATATTACACCCTTGTTTGCCATAACAGCAGCCCATATGCTAAGGTAAACTCCCCCAGCATAGGTAGCCAAACAAGGGCAGATGCAGCTACAATGCTTGACTATCGGTCTGAACAGTGAGWTTTACTCTGATGACTTCTGATGCCCTGAAAGCCAGATACCTACTTTGTTTGTCACTGTCATTCCTGCAGATATATCCATTTTACCAATTAATACTCACTGTAGGAGCTAGTATCTAAATCAACAGGCCTGCAAATGGACTTCATTAAGAAGGTCCTTTTACATTTTTTTTCAGCCTAAATTCCAGATTCTGGATTCAGAATGTTCAGTTAAGCTGCAGTCGGAAAAGATAATGCTTGAATTTCTCAGGGCTGCTCACATACTCAGCCTACAATAGGCTGCACTCCATGACCCTGAGGTGATATTCCAACTGAGGCCTGTGGATTTCCAGGTGGCTTTTTTTAAAAATGTGATGAAGACTGTTGCACTTAACCAGGTTCTGTTCCAAAATTAGATTGATTCCCAAGCTGAAGACATACAGGCATCATCAATATATAGACTGCCGCAGTCTGACTGGGCACAAAATCATGAACCACTCACACCTTGTAGATTCAAACAGCAACTCTTTATTCCCGAACTCACACCRGCCCTCTACAATCACATTCTGGGGAAATTCACATTCTCTACCAGGCTCTCATCAGCAGGATAAGCCCTATTCCTGGCAGGGTACACCTTAAACCTGGAACTGCCCTAAACCCAAGGAGCCTGATACTCCCTAAAACCTAATCCGCCCTAAAACCGGATCTGCCCTGGTCCTTGAGCAAGGTCACCTTACTCAAGCATATATGTAATGTCACTGCAAATGACCCGAGTCTAAGACAAGCCCATTTCCACAATGGAGAGTCCTTCCTCTAAGCAACATGGGGTAGGCTGACAAGAAAATTTCGATGCGTCATTCCTACTTGGCAATGGCTCTCAGCAATAGACTTTTTAAAATATAATTGTGKGGATACAGATGGAGAGAAACATACTAGAAAAGCAAAATCAGCAATTTTGAGAGCTGATATACCTTTCTGTATTGGTAGAAAATCATGTGATGAGAGCATAAGAGGGTGTCCAAGATGAGGGAGATGGAACAGTTGGAGATGTGTATCCAGAGGAATCTTCTTTGGGGAAGAGCCTTTGAAGGACTAATTAGAAGAATTTACTAACCCACTTATTCTTGAAGACCATTTTTGCAGATTGGTTTGTTTGTTTTCACTATTTGAAAATGAATTTGTATTCCTAATAAGATGCACTAGTGGCCAAAAATGTGAATTGGGAATGTATGCTCATTTTGTAAATTTCAGAATAATGAAATAAATCCTCACCTAGAAAATGGAGAGACACTCATAATCTTGCTGAGAATACAAATGAAGCAATTTGACAGCATATGAATGTCAAAGGGGCTCAAGGACAGTCACAATGCAAACTTACTGCAACCTCTCAATACTAAGTTATGTGAACATTATCAAATTTTTATGGGAAAATATAGCTGAAATGTGAAAACATGAATAGGCATAAAGTCACCTCACAGAGAGCAAATCACATTTCATAAAAGATCAATAAAAGTAATTCTTGAAATAACATTAATCTTGAATTTCAAAAATGAAAGTTATCACGGAGTTTGATCTGTGAAAGATCTTCAGGGGAGTACAAAGCCTTACCAAAGAGCCCCTTTCACAGCATCTTAGCATCTCAAGTGAGAGTGTTAGCCTGCCCTCCATACTGAGTGATAGGAGGTTCACGATGTTGAGAAGCAGCCTGCTGAACAGCTACCACTATGACAAAGTTCTTTCTTATAGTAAAAATAGACTTCCTTGTATCCTCCACCAATGTGTTCTAGATTCTGCCTTCTGACTTAAGAGAGTCAATTCCTTTGACACCTAGAGACCATCAGGGATCTGTTGAACCAATCATGGTTCCATAAGCTTTCCCTCCTCCTGCTTAGATGACACCAACTACATTAGCTCTTCTCCCCACTCAGGGTGTATCTGAAAACTACCACACATCCCACCAGGTTAAAACTGACATCCCTCCAACTCCCCTGTGTGGCACCCATGACTGGTCACAATGTTCCAGGTATTTATCTGGTCAACGCAGAGTACAATGAGTACTCACCACCCTTGGATTGACAGTAAAGTCTCCTAAAGTGACAGCTCGTTTTTCATGTTAATTGCTATGAACACATGCCTCCCCATTTCTCATGTCACAACTGGAAAGTTATTGTTCGTATGGAAGTGTTGACCTTTATATGTAACCTATTTATATTTATGCTTGCTTTTTAATTTAAAATTCAATTCTGATCTCATCATTTCATGCCTTTTCATCAAAAAATATTAATTAGCCCTTTCATATTTGTACCATTCCTAAATTTTATATGTATTTTATAGATTCATCTAAGACCTTCATCAAAATGGTAATCACCATCAACTTTTTAATCTGTTGAATATATGAACCTATAGATGAGAGTTCCACAATATGTCATTTCAGAATTCAGAATGTTTGCAGCTCATCCTTAACTTGTGAGAGTCACTCACTGCCTTGGAAAGCAACTGTGCAGTTGTTTCAGGTTCATTAACAGGTCAGGGATCTTACTGAAGTGCCATTTTAAATTTTAATTCTAATTTCTCCAGAAGTCGTACTGATGAAGTCCT